GGCTATCTTTTCAAAGAACCAGCTCTTGGAATTGTTGATTCTTTGTATTGTTTTCTTTGTTTCAATTTCATTAATTTCTGCCGTGATTTTTGTTATTTTATGTGTCTGAGTGTATTGCCTGCATGTATGTGGGTGCACCGGTGTTGTGTAGTGCCACGAAGGTCAGAAGAGGGCTTCGGATTCCCCTGGAACTGGAGTTAACGATGGTTCGGAGCCACCATGTGGGTGCTGGGACTCAAACCCAGGTCCTCTACAAGAGCAGTCAGTGCTCTTAACCGCTAAGGCAGCTCTCTAGGCCCCCATATAGGATTTTTTTTTAAAGTACTAAATAATGTGATTTTAAAAATAAATAAGCAGGCATGGTGGCACACACCTTTAATCCCAGCACTTGGGAGGCAGAGGCAGGTGGATCTCTGTGAGTTTAAGGCCAGCCTGGTCTACACAGTGAGTTCCAGGACAGCTGGGGCCACAGGGAGACCCTGTCTCAAAAAGACCAAAAACAAAAAAATAAAATAAAATAAAATAAAATATAATATAATAAAATAAAATAAGGAAGGAAGGAAGGAAGGAAGGAAGGCAGGCAGGCACCTGGGCGTGGTGGCGCACGCCTTTAGTCCCAGCACTTGGGAGGCTAAGGCAGGCGGATCTCTGAGTTCAAGGCCAGCCTGGTCTACATAGTGAGTTCAGTTCAGCTGGGACTACAGGGAGACCCTGTCTCACAAAGACAGAAAAAAATAAATAAATTAAATAAATAAATAAATAAATAAGCAAGCCGGGCATGGTAGCATGCACCTTTAATCCCAGCACTCTGGAGGTAGAGGCAGGCAGAGCTCTGGGAGTTCAAGGCCAGCCTGGTCTACATAGTGAATTCTAGGCCAGTTGAGGCTACAGAGAAACCCTGCCTCAAAAAAGTTTCTAGGCTGTGTATGATGGCACACACCTCTAATCCCAACACTTGAAAGGCAGAGCCAGGTGGATCTTTGTGAGTTAAGATTCCATCCTGGTCTATAGAGTTCCAGGCTAGCCAGGGCTATATATTGAAACTTTTCTCAAAAATTAAAACAACAAAAAATAATAAAAACCCCTAAAAGTTTCTAAAAATAATGGCCTAAATTTTAGTTCCCTCTAAAAGAAGAGAAACTGATAACATCATAAAACGCCTTTACTGACAGCTACAGTTAAGTTTCAAACTACCAAACCAACGCACCTATTTATATCATACTGACACAAGAAAAAAATGACTACACAATGTTTTACCATTACTGATAACTTTAGTCAAAAGACTTCAATTTGAGGGGCTGGAAAGATGGCTCAGCAGTTAAGAGCCCTTGTTGCTCTTGCAGAGGAGCCGGGTTCGAATCCCAACACCCACACGGTGGTTAACAACCATCCTAATTCCAGTTCCAGGGGATCTGACGCCTTCTTCTGACCTCCGAAGGCACTGCACAACATGGGTATACTTATATACATGCAGGCAAAACACTCATACGCATAAAATAAAAATAAAATTTTAGCCAGGTGTGGTAGTGCACGCCTTTAATCCCAGCATTTGGGAGGCAGAGGCCAGCCTGGTCTACATAGTGAGTTCCAGGCCAGCTGGGACTACTGGGAGACCCTGTCTCAAAAAGAGCAAAATAAAATAAATAAAATAAAATATAAAATAAAATAAAATTTTAAAAGACTCCAATTTGAGAAACTCAAGACATTCTGGGAGGATGATTTATTATCACCACCTGATTTTGTAAAGATCATTAACCTACCAATTAAAAACATTTAGTCACAACCTCACAAGTGTCCTGACAAAAAGATTTCAAAGGCCTCCAAAGCCATGGCTGATCCCATGAACAACTACTCATCCTGGGTTTTGATCCTGGTCATGATACTTTCTCCAGTCATTTCTTTAACACAGAAACCACTAACAGAAGACTACTGCAAACTCTCTTGTTTTGTTAAATTTTGAGACAGCGTCTCATTATGGAGCCCCAGTTGGTCTGGCCTGGAATTTGCTATATAGGCCAGGCTGGCCTTGAATTCAGGCTGTCTCTGCCTCCCAAGTATAGGGATTAAAAGTAGGAGCTACCATGCCTGGCTAAAAATGAAGCTTTAAGCAAGAATATAAATCAAAACAAAGACTAAAAACCAAAATGAGCTGTCTTCTGTATCTGTCAAAGATAACTAGCTCAAGATGTGAAATTCAAAAAAGAGCTGTTATTTAAAAGGCTCGAAATCATGTTTCCCTATAAATCAATACAAAGGATCTCATGAAATTAAAGCTTTCAGGCCTTAAAAATCCAGCAATTACTTTATACAGAAAAATAACAGTCATAATTTTCTGAAGGCACAGATGAAACCCACAGAGGTTCACCGTGGTCTTGGCTTTGCTGGGTCCCATCTGGGTGGGTCTCTAAGCCACATAACATCTTACTTGCTTTCAGCATCTTCCAAAAGACCTAAAGATTTCTTTTTCTTTTCCTTTTAGGTGTAGGGGACTGAATGTAGGACCTTGTACTTGGTATAAGCACACTCTCTGCCAGTGGCCTCAGTCCCCAAGCAACCATTTAAGATTAGGCTACTTCTAGGTGCCCGAAGTAAAAATTAACGGTAGGGCTTGTTTTTCAAATGATCTTTTACTGATTTTACTCAATGTGCTTTCTTGCCTTTCATTTTTTGCTTTTTATTTTAAAAACTTTACTGAGTTAAAACTGACATGCAATAAATAAACCTTCTTCCCTCACTTTCGCTCATTATATACCCTAGGATGGCCTCAACTCAAGACCTTCCTGCCTCAGTCTCCCAAGTGCTAAGATCATAGGCATGAGCCACTGAAAATTGCACACATTTAAAGTACAATCTGAGGGGCTGGAGAGATGGCTCAGCTGTTAAGAACACTGACTCTTCTTGCAGAAGACCCACATGGAAGCTACCAACTGTCCATAACTCCAGTTCCAGGGGATCCGACAGCTGCTTCTGGCTTCCGCGAGCATTGCACGACATGGGTGCACTAACCTACATGCAGGCAATACACGCATACACATAAAATAAAAATAATAAAATATATAAAAAATAAAGTACAATCTGAAAAGTTTAACAATCTGTATTTTTGAAAAGATTTATATACACACATAAAATAGTCAACATAACCAAGACGGTGGATGCATTCAGAATCAGGTCTCCGTGCCCTGTGGAGTCGCTCTCATTCCTCCTCCCCCTCCTCATCCCCACACAAGCACATGCCAATCTACTTTCTGTAATTATAGCTTAGCTCCGATTTTTCTGAGACTTATTCATGTTGTTCATGTAGTAATAGTTTGGTCATTTGTATTGTATAAACTGGTTTTTCATAACCCTTTAACAAAGTTTTAAAATTCTAATAAAAAGGTCTTTAGATGATTGTTTCTTTTAAAAGCTTGCTCAACAATGATTTTATATAGATGTATAGCTTGCTGACATTTTGGAATCATGTGAATAATTTTGTTACACTAAAGCCAAAAGTTGAATGATTTTTGTTGTTTCATTGTTCACCAGTTTTTGTTGTTTGTTTGAGACAGTAGTCTCACTCTGCAGTCCTGGCTGGCTTTGAACTGGCTTGTAGGCCAGACTGGCTTATAATTCATAGAGGTCTGCCTGCCTCCACCTCCCAAGTGCTGGCATTAAAGATGTCCAACATGCCTACACAATTGAATGTTCTTATATATCCCTAACATGGTTTTGGCTTTGTTTCATACTATGCTAAATACAAATAATCTATAACCAACAGAACATATTTGTCACATAAAAACATACTTAACCATATTTACATTGTTTTTAATACATAACTTTTATTATGATACAATTATATACGGTTATTTTTAATTTTTCTTAAGATTTATTTTTATATATATGTATATGTGTGCCTATGAGTATATGTCACAAGCATGCAGGTGCCTGTGGACCCCAGAAGAGGATATAAGATCCCCTGAACTGGAGTTACAGGTGGTTGTAAGCTGTCTGACATGGGGGCTAGGAACTGAACTCGGGTCCTCTAGAAGAGCAACAAGTGCTCTAAGCACTAAACCATCTGTCTTTTATTTAAAAATCTGAAAAGAAACTGACAATTTTCTCTTAAGATGGCAAATTTCTATCTGTCTGGATTGAATACAGGCTGAGGTAGAGTTCTGGTCAACAGGTACAAGGCCCTGGGTTTCATTCTAAAGGCACCAAATGGGTATAGAGTGTGATAAAAGACAAGAAAAAAGAATTATTACCTGTTTTCCTAATTTCCTAACAGTAAACCAGTGTTCTTTATAATTGCATATAAATGATCTTTCATTTCTAGAAAAGAAAAAATAGTACTGTTAAGTAGGACTATTATGAGTTCATTTATTTTGTATACTAGCAAGTATTATACAGAATTTGCTATCATTTAGATATATTTACATTTAAGTATTGATTTAAAAAAAAAAAATCACACAACTGTATGCACTTTTCCATAGCAGCTAGTCATGCCTGAAAGTTCTCATACCACGGAAGGCCAGCTGTGCCACCACTGACACTACTCGGAGGGCAGCTGCTCAAGGGCACCAAAAAGAAAGAGGGACAGGCACCCAAGGGAATCAAATGCAACATCAAAGCAAAGATATTTATAATGTGTTTTCCCTTATTCACAAATGATGGCTTTTTAAAAAAATTTTTTATTATTTTTATTTTATGTGTACAAGTGTATTGCCTGCATGTATGTGAGTTGCACCCATGTCGTGCAATGCCACGGAGGTCAGAAGAGGGCTTCGGATTCCCCTGGAACTGGAGTTAAGGACGTTTCGTAGTCGCCATGTGGATGCTGGGAATCGAACCCAGGTCCTCTGCAAAAGCAGTCAGTGCTCTTAACCGCTGAGCTATCTCTCCAGCCCCAGAAATGATAGCTTAAAAAAAAATCTAATTTAGAAAAAAAAAAAAATCTAATTTAGGCCGGGTGTGGTGGTACACGCCTTTAGTCCTAGCATTTGGGAGGCAGAGGTAGGCAGATCTCTATGAGTCTGAGGCCAGCCTGGTCTACCTAGTGAGTTCCAGGACAATTGGGGCTACAGGGAGATCCTATCTCAAAAAAGACACCCCTCCCCGCCAAAAAAATCTAATTTAGATAAATAAATACAGGAAAAAAATCTTACATCGGCTCAATCCCAAGCCTCTGGTACTCTGGACTGTTGAAGAGGATTAGTTCTAAACCCCAAACTTTCAAGGCATTGCTTATAACCTGTTCAAAGAAAAAACAGCAACTTTTATGAGCTAAACCATTCAAATTCAAATTTTAGTAGTACAGTCACATTAATTGTGTAAGCAATTTGCACTTCATATACAAATTCTGAAGATATGTTTTTTTAAAAATCCTGTCTCCATGGATACATCACTAAACCTATAAATAATGTACATGAGGTAGCCCCAGCTAGCTTGGATCTCACAGAGACCAGCCCTACCTCTGGCTTTTGAGTGCTAGGATTAAAGGCATGCACTACTATACCCAGCACATGTATATTTTAAAAGAGTACTTTTCACATTAGGTTTCTGAGAGATTTCAGAAACCACATAATTCAGAGATGATGCTGTGTCAAGTACTCAGATGTATATTCCATCCTGTGGGTGCTTTTCCTAAAACCACTGCACTCCACGCACTACCTGCAATGTCAGTGAACAGAGGCCTAGCTCCCTGGGGATTTACAAAGAAGGTTTGGGGGCTGGAGAGATAGCTCAGCGATCAAAAGCACACACTGCTCTTGCAGAGGACCCAAGTCCAGTCTTCAGAACCCATATTGGGCAGCTCACAGCTGTCTGTAACTCCAGGTTCAGGGGATCCCTCCACTGGCCTTCATAGGCACTCATTTGCATAGACACACATAATTAATAATAAAATAAAATCTTATGCATGTAAGGAAGGGGCAAATGTGAGCTGGTATCAAGCAAAGTGCCACACAAAAAGGAGATGGCAAAAGCTGGGCTAACTCTGACCTGTGTTCTCAGTTCAGTTATAAGGCCCTCATGGTGATAGAGAAGCATTGGGTGAAAATGCTGGTGAATGAGAAAGTCTAGGAGGGTAGTGCAGAAAGAATGGAAATAGAGATGCTTGCAGAAATAGATCAGAGAGAGAGATTCTGAATGAGCTTGGATAACCCTCACAGCATTAGAATAAAAGATCCATAGATAAAAGAGCCCCACAAGTGCATATATTTCAGGACTACAAAACAGGACTGCCAAGAGATTAAGGCTAGGTAGACTACAAAGTGAGGCTGTCTCAACAAAACAAAACTAAAAGCACACATATAAATAAATGGGCACAGGCTAGGGATTTTCTAAACTGTGGTAGAAAACTTGTCTCGTGACAGACCTTATATTTCATCCCCAGATGAAATAACCACAGAATTAAAAAGGAGTCGAAGGCTTTGGTGTGGCTCAGTGGTAGAATTCGAGTCCATCACACTTGGGGTCAATCCCAACACCACCTTTCAAAGACTATAAATTATAAAATAGACCAATCTTTTAGGTTGATTTAAGCAGAATGCTATAAGACACTGCAACTTCTCAAATTTACCAGAGATAATAAGTTTGAAGCATTGTAGTTTATTAGAATTAAAGTTATTGGCATCTACATATAAATTAAAATATCTCTTTTAGGAAGTAATTAAAAAAATTTTTTTTATGTGTATGAGTGTTTTGCCTGCATGTATGCACACCATGTGTGCGTAATGCCCACAAAGGCTAGAAGAAGGTGCTGGATCCTCTGGAACTGGAGTCACAGATGGTTGTTAGCTATCATGTGGGTGCTAGGAATCAAACCTAGGTCCCCTGGAAGAACAGAAAGTGTCCCCAACTGCTGAGCCATCTCTCCAGCCCCAGGAAGTAACTTTTTAAGTCCTATTCTAAACTAGGCATAGTGGTACACACCTATAATCCTAGCACTTTGGAGGCAGAGGTAAGAAGATGATCACAAGTCCAAGGCCAGCATGGTCTACATAGTGAGTTTCAGGCTGGCCAAGACTACACAGTGAAGACCCCATTTCAACCATCCATCCATCCATCCATCCATCCATGCATCCATCCATCCATCCATCCATCCCCTCCCTCCTCTATTCTAAAATGAAGAGTCTACTATCCTAATATTCATCTATACAAAACCTAGTATTCTGGTGAGAGTACAGTCTTAACCTCTGTAGACACAATCTACAGAAGGACTCCTCAAAGTTTCTTCTCTACATAAAAAGCTGTGAAAAGATATGTCACATCAACCATAAAGTGAGTTTAAGCACAAGTGCCTGGGACATGAGAAAGCACTGTGAACACACTTCTGACTACTTACTTGAATAGAGAAAAAGCCACTGTCATCCATATTTCCAGAAGGCTGCTGTTCATTTTGATGGGTAGTAAGTAGCAGGAGGGAAGGGAGGAGAAAAGGGTAAAAACATTCATTAGAGTGCACAATTAAAAGAACATGCTGTACATTCCCACCTACAAAGTCAAGGGCAGAGCTGTAAAGAACAAGTCAGATTCCTATGGGAAGAATGGCTCAGCATCTTCAGAGATCCCGCATTTCAAGACGAGTGAGTTTGCAGTCATACCTGCAGAAATGTGCGGTAGTCTTCGCTAGTCACTCCTCCTTCTGCCATCCGCATTCTTTCCTCCTCATCTAGCTGGTGTGCAATGGAAGATAATTCCACAGGGCTGAAATACTCTCCTTGCAAGAGATTGTTCAGGCAATGCTGAGCACAAAGTGAGCCTTCTTGCTAGTGTTTCCAAAAGAATAAATTAAATGCAACTTATTAAGCAGATCTGTATAGCGTCTTCAGACAATGTAATCATTAATTTTCTCATAATGTCAAAACAAATCTTTTAAGCCTTAGGCAAACCTGATTTCACAGGTACATGTGTTTTCATTTGTCAATGTTTATTTTATAGTTATTTAGCTATATGGTCAGAAACTAAGAATGATTTACAGTACAACTTCACCTATCAAATTTACCAAATCTTATAAGACTAACATTTAACCTTTATAAAATTATTATTATTTTTTTGGTCTTTTTGAGACAGGGTCTCCCTGTAGCCCCAGCTGTCCTGGAACTCACTATGGAGACCAGGCTGGCCTTGAACTCACAAAGAGCGGCCTGCCTCTGCCTCCCAAGTGCTGGGATTAAAGGCGTGCGCCACCATGCCTGGTCAACCTTTGTAATTTTTTTTAGTACCCAAAATAAATTTATCTTTGGATATCCATGGCAAATTAGTATTGCAGAAAAAGGGTGTTAATACCTAGAATATTTATTTTTTCTAACAAGATAATCACTATTTGATCTTAAAAGCCAGTCCCTGGAATTTCAATTTTCAAGAACTGGTACGGGACAAGTGGGAACAACTCTGTCTCATGTAAAGACTCACAGCTCTGGAGCTGAGGTTCTCTTCAGTGAACTTTGCAGACTATCAGATCACGTAGTGTGCAGTGAAAACTGTCTCAAAATGATGACAGCCAGGGCGGGGGTGGGGGAGAGTAGGCCAGGAAGAGGAGCTGTACCCAAGTTCAGCAACCCCATGGGACCATTGGCTCCTTCTCCTCATGGGGGGGTGAGTACAACTTCCCATGGGCCTGGGGGCTTCTGGTGCTAGTCAGCTGGCTTTCACTTCAACTGGCACTCTCACTCCAAATCCAGACTGCCTGGCACTGAACAGCTTGCCTGTCATTCTCCTGGTCCCAACGGTATCCTTTTCCCCAGCTGGAGGGAAAGGAGGGAGACTCATGGATAGCTGAGACTGCTCCCCGTGAACACAGACCTGAGGTCTGCCTCTCTGGGAGGCAAGGGCAGACAGAAGATCACCTCCTTCTGCTAACCTTGGCTCTCTAAATTCTCTCTCCCCAATAAAGGTCTCTACAACTCAATCTGCCTGACATCATGTCACATGCTCTGAGCTATGTACATGGCATATGGTGGCCCCAAGAGCACTACCTTGCAAGACATATTTTTCCCCCGATGAATCAATGTTCTAGGAACAAAATGTCATTGCCAAAGTAGGTACAGGGTGCATGTACGCGTCACAGAATAGAAAGGCAGTGTACAGACAGCTTGAGTTTGAGACAGGGCTACAACAAGTTTATCTTCATAGTTTACCAAGGAAATGTTGCCCAGGCTGGATTGAAGGTAGGGGTAATTATCCCTCAAGTCACAGCCACATGGTGACAGAACTCTTTGTCTCTCTTTTTCCATCTACTACACATCTACTGGTAGAATCAACTGTGAAGAAGACACAGTGCTGTTTTGCTGATAGCCTACTGAAAAAAAGGAAAGGGAACATTTCACAAGAGGACAGTCAAGTGGTTAAAAATACACAAAAAGGTGCTCAGCATCATTAGGTCCCAGGGAAATGTCTATCAAAACCAAAATGTGAGGCCAGCAAGATGGCTCAGCAGGTAAGGGCTCTTGCTGTGCAAATCTGGCAACCTAAATTTGATCTCCAGATATTACTGTAGATGAAATCTGACTCCCAAGGGCTGTCCCCTAACCTCCACATATGCACCTTGGTACATGCACGCACACACACACACACACACACACACACACACACACAACTTTAAAGTGTTTGTGAAAAAAGAAAAAAACCCACACTGCATTACTACTGCACAGGCTCCAGAATGGCTACAATGGTGGGAGGTTTAGAGTTACAAGAATTGTTACATGGTACACAGTATAAATTAGTAAAACTTTTCAGAGTATCCACCAAAACCGCATACTCATATCCTATGATTAGTAGTCCACTGCTTGGGTACATACCACAAACATGTTTATCAAGGACATGTATGGAGGTGTTCATAAAAGCACAATTTTTAATGGTTCCCAAACTGCAAAGCACCCAAACAGAATTGTATTTACAAAAGAATACTATATAAGAATGAAAATGAAAGGCTGGAGAGATGGTTTAGCAGTTGAGCACTGGCTGTTCTTGCAGGACCCTGGTTTTGTTCCTAGTACCCACAGGGTGGCTTTCAACTGTTCATAACTCCAGTTCCAGATCTGACACCCTCTTCTGACCGCTGAAGCATTGCATGACATGAGTTCATTTACATGCATGCAGACCATATACTCATACACATAAAATAAAATAAAAAATAATGAAAATAAACTTTTTTTGAGACAGGGTCTCCCTGTAACCCAAGTCAGCCTGGAACTCACTATGTAGACCAGGCTGGCCTTGAACTCAAAGAGATCCACCTCCCTCTGCTGGGCCACCATGCCCAGATAATAAAATGTTTCTAAAAACAAAAAGAATGAAAATAAAGCTGGGTATAGTGGCACACACCTTTAATCCCAGCACTCAGGAGGCAAGAATCAGGTGGATCTCTGTAAATCAGAGGCCAGCCAGGGCTACACAGTAAGAACCTGTCTCAAAAAAAAAAAAAAGAAAGAATGAAAGAACAAACAGAAGAAAATTAACTATATATGCAACAATATGGATTAATCTCTCAAATACTACAAAAAAACCCCACAAAACATACTCAAAAGAATTTACAGCAGGGCTGAGGTAGGGTGTAGTTCAGTGGTAGAGTACTTATCTACCATGTGTAAGGCCCTGGATTTGATCCTTACCACCACCACCACAACAACAAAATAAGGGGGTGTATGTACGTACACAACTGAAACAAGCCAGGTAGCTGTAGCTTACAACGTAAAGGTGCTTGTGGTACAGGCCTAGTATCCCGAGTTCAGTTCCCAGAAGCCACATAAAGGTGGAGAGAATCAACTCCACAAACTTGTCCTCTGACCTCCACACATATACAGAGATATGTGCTCACCCACACAGATCAACAGAGACAATAATAAATGAAATTTAAAGTATATGCTGTGATTTCCTTAGAAAGGCTTAAAAATAAGCAAAAATGTGCGGGTATGGTGGTGCACGCCTTTAATCCCAGCACTTGGGAGGCAGAGGCAGGAGGATCTCTGTGAGTTCAAGGCCAGCCTGGTCTCCATAGTGAGTTCCAGGACAGCTGGGGCTACAGGGAGACCCTGTCTCAAAAAGACCAAAAAAAAAAAAAAAGCAAAAACTAATCTATGATGTTAGAATTTCCTTGGTAAAAGAAGTAGCTCCTGAAAGGAGAAAGGAAGGCTTAGAGGATGCAGGAAATGTCTATGGCCCAATTAGGGGCTGCGTGTTCACCTGCTATATACTCTTATCCTCATCATTTGTGTGTTCTTACACATTATACTCAAGAGGGGCTGGAGAGATGGCTCAATGGTTAAAGCGCTGGGTGCTCTTTCAGGGGGACCAGGTTCAGTTCTCAGCACTCACATGGCAGCTATAACTCTAATTCCAGGGGATCTGATGCCTTCTTCCTGCCTCTGCAGGCATTGTACACACATGGTACACATACATACAATGCAGGCAAACACTCATGCACATGAAATAAAAGTAAGTCTTTTAAATAAAAAAATTAAGACAAGAAAAGCTTGCTAAGGCACAGCTACCACATACACGAAGACCTACCTACCACGGTAACCAGATACTGGATTGAGGAACAACTGAATCAAAATCTTCTGTCCTGTTGTTAGGCTACATGCTTCAGTTTGAGGTTTATAAACACTAAAAGTATGTACTTAATATACAGAAATAGTGACAGTCAAAAATCTGGTGAAACATTCTTGCTATAGAAAAATAAGGTTTTGTTTTGAGACAAATTCTCATGTAGCTCAGGCTGTTCTCATGCACTGCACAGAGGAAGGTAACTTTTCAACTCTGGTGATTCTCTTACCTCCACACCCCAGGGCTGACATTACAAGCCTGTGCCCTACCACACCCAGTTTATTTGGTATTGAGGATCAAACCCAGGCCTTTCTGCAGGCAAGGCAAGCACTCTGCCAGCTGAGCTACATTCCCAGCTCCTAAAAAAATTAGCTTTTACTATGAAAAATAAGCACTTAAAATCAAATCTTGTTCAAGCAAAACTATATTGCCAAAGGAAATATAAAGTTCTGTGCTTCTAATATTAACAGAGGGGAAGAACAAACTGTTCAACTTAATTTAAAAAAAAATCACATTGTCACATGACTGATCAAATTTTAGCTAGACCTAAAGAAGTTTAATGACTCCATCTCACATTATGCATTTTCCTGTCTTATTGTTGCCCCAAATTATCCTGTTACATCTTTCTAATCAAGATTTCACTCAAGTTGGGAGCCAGCAAGATGGTTTAACAGGTAAGGCACTTGCCTCAAATATGTAGATCTGAGTTCAATCCCCAGGACCCACAAACAGAGAACCAATTCCTGCAAAGTTGTCCTCTGACCTCCACAAACATGCCATGGCACACACATACACATATATATAAGCAATAAATAAATATAATAAAAAATTAATTTTATGTGTATGAATGTTTTGCCTACACGTATGTTAGTGTACCATGTGCATGCAGTGCCCAGAGCTCAGAAGAGGGCTTCAGATCCTGTGAAACTGGAGTTATAGATGGCTGTGAGCTGCCATGTGGGTGCTGGGAACCAAACCCGGGTCCTCTGCAAGAGTAGCCAGTGCTGTTAACCGCTAATCCATCTCTCCAGCTCCCAATAAAATTTTTTTTTTAAAGATTTCATGAGCTGGAGAGATGGCTCAGTGGCTAAGAGCTCTTGCAGAGGATCCAGTTCAATTCCCAGCACCCACATGGCAGCTAAGGACGGCCTGTAACTACAGCTCCAGAGGAATCTGACACCCTCTTCTGACTTCCACAGGCACTGCATGACACAGGTATACT